TTCCCAATGAGAAATGTAATTGTGTTGTATACCTACAATATACCAATAAAAGAATTTAATACAAAAATAAATAAATAAATAAATAAATAAATAAATAAATAAATAAATAAAACTGGCCACAGAGCTGGGGACAGCTGGTGCATCCAGGCTGCAGTCTCCCGAGCTGTTCAGCGACCTGACATTCACCGACAGCTGGAAGTGGGGAGGTCAGGTTGCTGCCAAACCCGCAACTGGTCTTGGAGTGTGGAGCTCAGCCATCCCCACCATCTGCGTCAGACACACGGAACCCTGCTTGTTCAACCCGCCACCTTTCCTCCCTTAAGCCCCTTCCCATGCTCTTCCATGGCACCGGTCCTTCTGCTGCCCCTGGCCAATGTCACGTGAGCTGTAGGGTTGGTGGCAGCCTGGAGCCCTTGTTCCTCCTGTGCAGCTCCAGGCCCTAAAGGTTCTTTCAGGAAGAGCTTTTCTGCCCTTCTGTGATTCCCAACCACTTCCGCCCTCACCTCAGGAACACAGCCAGGCTCCTGACAAGAACAGCTTCCTTTTAAATCTGAAGATAGGTGTGGAACCAGGTCTCACCTTCCATGGTGTTCCTAGGGGAGACAGTGCTCTAAAATACACCCGATAGGCCCAACAGAGGCCTTGACTTGGAATTGCTCCCCACATCCTTCGAGAACTGTCCAGAAGAGGAAGAGCCAACATTGCCTACAGCTCAGATGGGTGCTGTACTCAGCAAAGAGGGAAACCACAGCTGTTGGTCAGAGGTCGGTGGGAAACAGTGCTCTCAGACCACAGAACTGACATGGGACCCTTCCCAGAATGCCACCAGGTGAGGACCACAAGGACCGCGAAAGGGGAGGGTCCTCATGAGGGGAGCACAGGCACCATTCTCTCCATCCACACCCTTGAGGGCAACCCAGAGGAGATGCAGGGAGGGAAAAGGAGAAGGAAGAGCACCCAGGGGCCACAGGAAGTGGTGGGAACAGGCAGGGACCTGGATGTGGGGGAAGCTGCTGCTACAGAAGTGGGGCCTGGGGCAGGAGGCTTTCCTCACAGGCTAGAGAGAAGAGGAAGGGGCTGGAGAAGGTCCTGTTCTGGGGAGACACTGTCCAAGAGCCAGAGAGCCAAGTGTCCTTCTGTGAAACCTAAGTGACTCCATTTTAAAATTTGGCTCCATCTTAGAGTAAGGTGGCCTAGACATAAACTCCAGTTCCAAAAAAACCCACAAGATGTACTTTGACCACCTGCTTGTGATAATGTTCAACAGTCCCCTAGCAACAGCCAATCAGTAGCTATCCCAATGTCCCAGATACTCTTCTCGATGGCTTACAACAGCTAATCAGTAGTTACCCCAATACCCCAGTGTCCCAGATGTTCTTTTCGATAGCTTGAGCAGCCGTTTGCAGTTCGGCCCGTGAGGCACAGCCAATCAGGTTTAAACATTCAAAACTTGCTAAATATCAGCCAATCATGTAATTTCCAAACTGGAACTCCCCGAACCTTGCTGTAACCACTATAAAAACCCCTGCTGATTTGGAGTTAGGGGCTCTCAATCTTGACCCGCTGCATCAGTGACAGTTGAGAGTCCCTGCTCGAGCTTGAATAAACGACCCTTGTGTGTTTGCATCGGAATCGGCTCCTTGGTTGTCTTCGGGGTCCTCACGGCCTGGGTACAACACTTCGTTCTAGAGCCACAGGTCCCCAGAGAAGCACAAGGGCCACTGTTGAGACACAGCCCAAGCCCTGGCCCTGGCCCGCTGTCTTCCTGCCATGCTGGCCCCAGAACATCCAGCTCCAGTCAACATGCAGAGGACTCACACAAGGCTTTAAAAAGTAAAAAGAGAAAGTTGTTTCGTGAAAGATACACATGCATACACTTGTAACACAGCATGATAGCACTGATAGGAGGAAAAGCCATCGAGTATAAACTCAGAATGAAATGCACTTGTGAGATGTGCCCTGGGAGCTCGCTTAAGAGAGCCAAAGACCACAAGATCATTTCCTGTGATTCCAAACCACTTCTGTTATCAAGAAAAGAGAAAAGAGATGCCTAAGGGAGAACAGACGTGTGTGTAACAAGCAAGTCCCTTATGGAGAAAGACAATCAGCCTGGCTTCTGATTTCTTAAAATGACATGCGGGACACGAGGACGATGAGAAGCCTTTTGAAAGGACTCAAGGAAAGCAGCAGCCACTGAAGGGTTTCTGTCCTGCCAGGTGCCGAGGGCACAGAGTTCCTGACACACTGTTACCTGCCATTCGCAGCCTCTCTGAGGGATGTTTGCCTTTGGAGGATGAACACCCAGCCGAGAGCACTTTGGAGAGATGCAGTGAGGGCAGATGATGCTCAGTTGTGCATGGAAAGGAAGCAGAAGCTGGGACAGGAGGCCGACCTGTGCCCCCTGTGCGGGCAGAACAGACAGCACCACTTTCTTCCTGGGGAGAGAAGGGAGGATGTGAAGATCAGAGTTGGCTTCTTCCCCCGCTGCACTAACAGCTGAGAGTCAAGTGATGGTGCTTAAACCTGATCATCCTAAATAGGAAGGGGCTAATTAAGAAAGGAGGGGCTGGGCCAGGGATTCAGCTCAATGGTTCTGCCACCTGCCTTGTAAGCGCAAGGTCCTGAGTTCGATCCCCAGCACAGCCCTGGAGAGTGTGTCTCTAGTGGGCCCCTGTCTTCCAATTCACACAAAGAAGCTGTGCTGGGGCTAGGGACGCGCCCCTTTCCAGGTGCTCTGTGTGCCGACAAAGAGGACCAACCCTCATGCCTGGGAATGGGCATCATCTGGCCTCGGGACTGGGACGCTGAGCCAAGACCACATATCCCACCTCTGTGTCACACCCGGTTCCTGTGCCTTCACACTCAGGCCTTTGGCTCAGGACTGAGCATCACACCCCGGCTCCCAGGTTCCCAGGCCTGAGGACTTGAACGATGACACCACCAGCCTTTCCAGGTCTCTGGCTTACTTCTGGCACACTGGGGAAGTTTCTGCCCCAGGGACGGAGCGCACCAGTGCCCCTGGTAAATGCCCTATGTACAGAGAGCTACAATGTACCTCTGGAATGAACCCACGGCCTCTTCCTACAGAAACAAAAACCACAGCAAGGGAGAGAGCAGCGCCTCATGGGCCCGGCCCCCAGCATGCCATGGGCACATGGGGAGACACGAAGCACTAACAGCCACAGAGCAAAGGGGCCCACTGCAGTCCTGTCACCACATGGAAATGTGCATGGCTTCCCTATTACAAGAAAAATATTTTAGGATCAGTTCATGAGTCAGTCAACTATTCCCATAGCGATCCGGGTGACCATCACCCCAAACCTTAACAGCGTTGAACAATAAACATGTATTTCTCAGCCATGGACCTGCAGATTGATGGGCGTTTAACAGATCTTAGAGGGGTGAGCTCTGAGCCTGCCCAAGGGACCCCCATGCTCCTTGAGTCAGAACCTGTTTGAGGTGAATGCTGTGCTTGGCCAAAGGCTGCAGAGCCACTGAGAACCTGCACTGCCAGCACCTCCAGGGAAAGGCAACCCTGACCAGGACAGCGCTTTGTAAGCCTTTGCTCATGCCACACCCACTCAGAGCCCATGGACCAATCCAGACCGAGCTTGGTCCTGCATCAGGTTGGAACGAACACCTTACCTTCCAAGAAGCCACAGGACTGTGAGGAACAGTGCCAGCTCCATCTACAGTGGATCACCAAGCTGGCCCCAACCAACTCCACATCTGAGAGATGTTCAGAAAGGTTACGGACAGATGTGTACAAGCAGAGGAAAACCCCTTATCTTAGTTTCTTCCTTCTGGTTGCTGAGACAAAATACCCAACACTCACAAGTTAAGGGAGAAAAGGTTGATTTAGCTCACAGTTTGTAGAGGCTTCCACCCATAATCGGCTGGCTCCAAGGCAGAGGGGCATGGCAGAGGAGACCCAGCTCATGGCAGGCAGAAGGTAGCAAAGGAACAAGGGACAACCACAGCTCTTTCTATCCCTTACATATCCGGCTACTTAGGGCTGGTAGCACTCACATCCTTGAGCCTAGTGCCTTTGAGCCTAGCACTGCACCATGAATCAATCCCAGCATCACACACGCTAGATCCAGCCACCTCGGAAAAGCCCCACCTATGACTGCATGAGGCCTGGGGGGACATCTAGATATAGCTCTAACACCCCTGAAGAGGGAGTGAGAAGAACTAACAATGCAAGATGCAAAGCCAGGTGTGGGTCACTCACCTGTAATCCCAGCACTCTGAGAGGCTGAGGCAGGAAAATGGCTGCTTTGACCCCAGCCTGGGAAACTTAGTAAACTCAGCGAGATTCTGTCTCAATAGTGAAAAAAGGAGGAGAGGGCTGGGAATGAATCTCAGTGCTAAGGGACTGGGTTCAATCTCCAGCATCACCAAAAATAACTAAATAAATGCCAGATAAAGTGACTTAATACTAGGGACTGCAGGAAGATATCATACAGACTTACAGCGATTTATGCAACAAATTAAAAAATGGTGGAAAACCTCAAAAAGCAAAACCTATATGAAATGCTACAAGAAATAGTAGCATATTAATAATAGGCCAACACATCACTTCGAGCCTAAGACAAGTGAACAGGACAAAAGTTAAATCACGCAGAAGCCCTCCATTTCTCTTGATTATGATGTCAAAATATAGAACACAGAACAGCATAGAACAGCTTCGGAGCCATGGAGAAGGCAAAGGGGACTTCAACAGGCTCCGCAGGATGGAGATAATTACACAATGCAGTTGAGCTCAACATTAATTTAAAAATAAAAACATCCCTTCCAGCTAGAAATGCTATGGAAGATTAAATGAGTCCCGGTCAAAAGACAAACTAACACTGCAGGATCTATTTAAAAAGAGCAGCACCACATATCAGCATCTGTGACACAATAAAGCAATAATCCAAGCAAAGTAACAAAAAATGGGAGACTGTAAAGAACGGCAAATTGGATACTGGGGAAACATAATAAGGTAAAGCAGAAATAAGTGCAGATGAAAAGCCAAACAGAAAACAAGAAGTGATTCCTATCAATCAAACACTGGGTCTTTGAAAACAGGAACACCTACAGCTTAGCAAGTCCAGATGGAAAGAGCACAGACAGACACTAGGAAATGAAAAAGGCCAGGAGCTATGCAGGAGGAGGCAATTTTGAAAAGTGATGCTGCTTTATACAATAAGTATAAACAACTTTATACAGTAGGTATGAAAATCTAGGTGAGAGAGACATTTAGCCCAGACTGACCCCAGGAGAGATTCCCAGGAAAGTTAAGCAGATTCCTGGGGCTATCCCGAGGCCCTTCCTAAAAGGCTAAGGTGGTAGGTGCTCCCACCCTTCCTGAGAGGACGCAGCACTTATTCCTCCCTCCAGAGGCTGCAGCAACAAGGTGCACTGCGGAGTACAGGCGAGGCCTCACCTAGTCATGGGCTCCCAGCCTGCAGCGCTGTGAGAAGTCCGTTCCTGTTCATTATATGCCACCCTGTCCACAGCAGCACAAGCCAGCCAGGACAGCCATCATCTTCACTTACTGTATGGGAGGTTTCTGATGGTACAATCAGAAATGTTTAGAGGTCCAAGAATTGAAGAGGAGGAGGTGAATTATTTCTATTGGCATGAAGAGAACTGACAAAAAAACCAAGCATTAAGGAAATTCATCAAGAAGATTGGCTACTAAATTAATACACATGAATCAAGATGTAATTTTTAAAGTTAGGACAAAACCTGGACAGCTATATTTACAAAATGAAGTGAATACAAATACCTGGGAAGCCACCAGGTGTGGTGGCAAATCACCAGCACTCAAGGCAGAAGGATTGCAAGTTCGAGCCCAGGCCGGGTAACTTATTGACTTAGCAAGATCCTGTCTCAAAACAGAAAATAAAAAGGGGGTGGCATATACATAGCTCAGTGCAAAGGCCCTGGCTTCAAACCCCAGTACCACACATGCACCATTCAGAAAAGATCGCTGAAAATAACTGAGCTATTCAAATAATGAAAATATATGTAAGGAAAAGATTAAACAAAAAACCCTACAGAGTTCAACAAATACATTTCACGTTTCTGAAAATACAATGTAATGTAATGAAGTCAATACTTGCCAGTTTAAAAACTTGGCCACAAAGTGGGATGTGGTGGTGCACACCTGTAATTCTAGCACTCAGAAGGCTGAGGCAGGAGGATCACCATGAGTTTGAGGCCAGCCTGGGCCACATCACAGCTCTGAGAGGGCCAGGCCCATGTCAGGTCACCCTTGGGGGCAGAGTTGAATGAGCCAGTCTGATGCCCACCATCTTTCTTTGGTGGCCTGAGGCTTCCTTTATCCTGCTGGTTTTGACTTGGGCCAGGTGTGCTGGGGCCCACCTGTAGTCCAACTGCTTGGGAGGCTGAAGCAGGGTGACACCTTGCTCCAGGAGGTGACCCTGAGCCCGGGCAGCCCTCCTGTGTGGTCCCTGTGCTCCGGCTGTGGAGGAGATGCTCTAAGCACATGGTTCTCCCAGGTGGGGCCCCAGTGGCTCTGGACAAAGGGTGCAGCCAGCCGTGTCTCTGCCATTGAGGCCAGGTCACCATGAGTGTCTGGTCATGACTTGGGAAGCAGAGACTGCTTTGGGTTTTTTCTTTTTTTCAGTACTGGTGATGAAATGCAGGGGCCATCTACCACTGACCATCTAGGCTTCTTTTTCATTTTTTATTTTGAGGCAGGGCCTGGGTCTTGCTAGGTTGCCCAGGGTGGCCTTGAACTTGTGATTCTCCTGCTTCAGCCTCCCAGAATGCTGGGATTACAGGTGTGCATCACCATGCCGAGTTAACGGTAAGTTCTGAACATGTAAAATACTTCCCTGTGCACAGTTTGAAACCGCATTGGAAGCTACTTTGACAAAATCTCACCTCCATCCCTGTGCCCTTCTCCTCGCACCCTCCTGCTCCCAGGTCTCCTTTCCACCCATTCCTTGGCTCCCTGGCAAGGCCATGCCTAGGTTCTCTTGCCTCTCTTCACCAGTGACACATGCTGTGACCATGACTCTAGAGTTTGTCACTCACTCACAGCTGTCAACTTGCTGACTCAGTTCCAAACCCTCCTCTCCCCTCTCCTGGCTCCTGGACACAGGTTGGACCTCTGTTGTGCTGGGATGACACAACTTTGTCACTAGAGGGCATGCGAGGGCCACTCCACAGGAAATGGCTGTACCTAAAGGGTCTGTTTCCTCTCACAGTTCAGGGCTCATCTTTGCAGGATGAGCACCAAGGTTTTCCTGATGCCATCCAAGCCTGCAGCACCCCTCCTGGCAGCAGCCTACTCCCTGGCCCAGATTCCTGATGACCCAGCAGCCCCTGCCCCCTGCCTGCCTCTCCCACCCACTGATGCAGCTAGCTGGAACCAGCACAGGTGCCACCTGGGGGCTGCCACAACTTCCCATGGGAGCCCTGGGAGACCCAGTTCTGCTGGGGGCTGGCTTCAGAGCACCAGCAAGACTCAGTCATGCTGAGTGCTTCAGCGCTCCTAGGAGCTGGCATCTGCCTCAGCATCTCCACACCTGTCTCATCAGTGACACCTGTGTCACCAGTACCATGCGCAGGGGGGCCCAGAGCTCTGCTGCATGACAGACAGGGAGCTCTGGGAAGAAGCCCGTGGTGTGAGATCTTCCTACTGAGACCCCAGCCCAGCACCTGGACCTTTCTCAGAATGATCACAGTTCATAGAAGAGCAGCTCTGTCCCTGGGACCCAGGACCCTCTGCAGTATGTGGGAGCCTCCAGGACTGGTCTAGCCCAGCTGCATGGCCAGGGAGTGTCCTCCAAAGGGCAGGGGGGCTGGGCCATTGGGGATCAGAGCACAGGCACATAGCTCTTCACCTCTGCAGGAGGGGATTGGCCCATGGGGACAGAGCTTTGGACCAGCTGCTGGGAGGTGGAGCAGGGCCTGAGCAGTCAGAAGGGGCCATGTCACATGTGCCACAGAGCCTGGCCCGAAACCCAGGTCACTCACTGGTCTGAGTTCCTCACCCCCTGGGACCCTCAGCTTCCTCCTCTAAGTGGGCACGAGAATGGTGTCTGCCCTACAGGCTCACGGGGTCTCCATGGAGGCCTGAGACCCAGGAGACACATTACAAAGGCAGCAAGGGCTCTAATCCTTCTGTCACTGGAGAGAGATTCCCAGTGGGGTGTGTGAGACCCACACAGCAGGATGGAGCCACAGGAAGAGAGCCCGATGCCCCCACTCCCAGAGCGGGGACAGCCCAGCCACAGGAGGCAGGAGTGCTGGGGACTAGAGGCGGAGAGAGAAGTGAAACCCAGTAAAGGGGCTGGCAGCCTGGTGAGGGAGACTCAGGAACCCACCCGAGTACACAGTCAGATGGCAACACATGCTGTGGAGAGGGACAGTGAGGAGGAGCAAAAGTGACTCAGGCCTGGAGAATAGTGACGGCAAAGGCCCTGGGGCCATGGAGGGCTGTGCCTTTGAGAGTCTGAGGCTGGAGTTTGAAGCCTGGGTTTTCTCTCTGGTCTCTTCTATGTATTTGTGATCCTTTATTTCTTCTGAATTGAGCCAAGCCGGGTCAACAGTCTATTCTGTTCAGCAAATCTCACTCCATGGTCTCCAGGAGGAACCACAGGTACATGTGGGGTTAAGGGGCAGCCACTCTGGGCCATGACTGTGACCACGTTACAGAACTTCCTCCAGTCCTCAGCCCCCCTCCCCCACCCCCATCTCTGGTGTCCAGGGCTGAGCCCACCCATAGGCCTCTACCGGCTCCACCTGGGGCTCCACACCACCTCGGACCCCACAGCTCCATGGTGAGAATGCAGCCACCCCAGTCTGCCTCGATGAGTCCCCAGGGGCCCCCAGGCACCCTTTCCTGCCCCTTCATCCTGCTTCCCAAAGCTGCTGTGAGGAGAGCACTGTCATACATGGGGACACCAGGACACAGGGACACAGGCAGCATCCTGGGGGGGAGGCTGGCAAGGGCTCCTCCAGTGGCCAGGACACACCCAGCCTTAATGGAGGTGGCCACCTCCACAGTGGGACCTGAGTGGGGTGGTGACCATCACCCACGCATGTAGTGTGATAGCCAAGCTGACTCCATCTTGTGCCTCAATGTCACTTTGTACCTGTGCTTGAACACAGTGCTTGCACATGAACAAAGCATCCCCAACCCCCACATCCTGCCTGGCAGTAAACTTGCTGCTGTTGCAGGATGTTCTGTAGCTCACCTGGTGTGTGTGAAACTTCCTTGTACCCCCCACTAGCCTGGCATGTTTCTGCTTCTGTAAGATTCCTCTTGCTCTCCCCTGAGCCCTCCTCAACTGAAAGCATGATTTAAAAGGAGAAATCAAACTGCTTCCCATTGCCCAGGAAACTTTCTAGGGCACCGGCCCCCCTCGACCGCCAGCTATAATAAATGGGCTCGAATCTGGCACAGAGTATGGCGCACCTCTATTGTCTGAACTCACTGGTCCACCACAGCGGTTCTTGATCAGGACGGGACCTGAGTCAGCTGGTCCCTGGTCCACATTGATGTCATCTTCTCCTGAAGTACTTGGAAGCCCCAGTGCCCCGCCTCCCTGCCTCACTTCTGTTCCCAGTGCTGTGGCCCCACATGAAGACCATAGGGCCAGGAGCAGCAAGGGGCTAGGGACACGGGAAGCAGCTGCCCTCACCCCTTGCATACACCGAGGTCCTTCCTGTGCCCCTAGAGGACTAGAAGGTCCCTGAGAGCCCAGCCCCTTGGAAGCCACTTACCAGGGTGCCCAGGGCACCTCAGAACCCTTATCCCTCTGTAGCCTGAGCTTCTCCCTGTTGCAGGTCTCCCCACAAAGCTGTACTGCTGTGGGTTAGCCTGGCCTCCATGGTCCCAGAGTGCGGTCACTGCTGACCTTGCATGGCTTAGGGGCTATCCTCAGAAGCTGCTGAGAAGACACGTCCTCAGCCAGGCTCACTCTTCACCCTAAAAGAGGGACCAGGGAGGACTGTTCCTGGCCCTCCAGGTGACAGAAGTGACAGCTGCACAGAAGTGACCCCTGTGCCCTCTGCTGCCACCACGGCCTGTCTGTCCTCTGCTGAGATGTGTTCTGTGTGCTTCTAGTCAAGCTGTTCACTTCTAGGCAACCTGTGTATGTGTCCCTTCCTCTCACAGGCTGGGGGGCTGGGGAATGCGTCCAAAGGCAGTGGAGGAGGGAAGCACAAGGGACCCCAGCAGCAGAGGTCACAGGAAGGACACATCAGAGGAGGGTGGGGAGAGGCCATGCCCCTGGGCCAGCACCCAGGCCCTTGTGGCTTCCCTCTCAAAGAAGGATGCAGGACAGGAGAGGTAGGAGGGAGGGCAGAAGAGGCTGGGGACACAGGAAGCTCAGTGCCTGCACTGTCCAGTCATCAGAGCAGAGCTGGGTGTGCTCCACTTGCACACCCAGATGCACCACACAGCGGGGACTGTCCCGGAAATGGGGTTGGTCCTCCCCTCTGTCCCAGGTCTCCTGACTCTCCCGGAACGCCCCACCCCTCCGTCTCCTGGGATCTTGTTTGGACCAAGGCCCACTCATCAGTGGCCTCCACCTGCAGGAAGCTGAGCAGACTCCCGCCCCTGGGTCTGCACAACCCCAGCCAGAGCTCTCTCCCTGGGGTGCAAGATGGGGGCCGGCTGGGAATCACTGCTCCAGGACAGAGAACAAAGGACCAAAGAATCCAAACCCCAGACCCACTGAACTTACACAGTTTCCATGAGATCTTCAACTTCCGGAGGGCACCTGGGGCCTTGTGTCCATTTTATAAATGATGAGCTGACCCAGGGACTCAGGTCAAGGCCAACACACACACACACACACACACACACACACACACACACACACCCAGCCTTGACCATATGGCACAGATGGGCAGCCTCCTGCCAGCAGAGGGTGCCATCCACACACAGGGACAGCTGTGTCCCTGCAGGTGCAGGTCAGGCTGTGGTGTTGTCCCCAGGCCCCGGCTAAGCATCCACCCCAGCCTGCGTTCAATAAAAACACCTCTGCCCTTCCTCCTCTCATATCCTGAGCTCTGTCTGGAAAAACTGATGCTTTCCATTCAGAGAACATGGGTAGGTCTGGGGGACACCATCCTACAGGGACACAGACAGGCAAGAAGCAACAAGAGGAGGAGACATGTGACTGCAGAGACCCGGAGAGCCACCTCCAGCACAGTGGCTTCCACACTCTCTGGCCCAGGAAAAGTCTCTGAAAACTGCAGGCCTGAATTGGAGGCTCCCCCACCTGCCTTGTTGTTACTTTTAGGCCTTATGTTCTCCACGTACAGTCCAGCCACCCATGGGTCTCTTTGTAGTCTTTAAATTGCTTAGAGCTTTGAGTCTTACAAACACGAGTTCACAGGTCATGGGTGCTTTAGTCTGGCCCCCTCACCCAGTGTAATAACTCTTCACTCACCTGTGTGCTGCACAGATAAACACTTCATGGTACAGTCTGGCCACCAGGCTGGAGGGATGCTGCTGTCAGCACAGAGGGCTCTCCTGACAGAGGACCCTGCACACACACGGAAGGTGAGCGTGTCCCTCCCCCGCAGAGCTGCTCAGTGTGGGACAGGAGAGGAAGGCCTCCCATGATGCCCCCAACATGAGCATGAGGATTGCCAGGAAGGGCAACAAGTGGTGGCCATAAAACCTCAGTCTATTATGCTTTCAATTACTGGAGAAGACAAATCAATGCTTTCTAGAGGAAAGCCATCCCATGACGCAGGCACGGCAGAGATGCACAGTGGAGACAGTTGCCCAGCACTGTGATGCACCTGATGCCATGGGGCTGTGCAGTCCAGGGTAATGGGGGCCAGTTCATGTGAGGCACATTTTATCCCAGTGAAAAGAATAATGACAGCAAGGCATGGCAGGGTCTACAATGAGCAAAGAAAGAAAACATAGGAAACAGCAGCATGCAAGCAGGAAGGCAGAAATGTTGCACTGTTCCCGGGCACATGCAGCATGGGGGATGGGCACTGAAGGGAGGCCTGGCAGTCCTACGCCAATACTTGAAGACAGCCACATACAATGACCTGTTCAAGCAGAGGGGAGCAGGAAGTAGGACTCTTGCAGTGTCATGGCACATACTTCTGCAACCTGGGCACATTACTGAGATCTACACCACCTGTCTTGACCATGTTGCTCCATGGCTTCTACTGGCTCTGTGCTGCATGGGAAGGACCCTAGGTGACACTGACGCCACACAATGGAGGCAGTGACCTTTGAGGATGTGGCTGTGAACTTTTCTTTGGAGGAATGGGATTTGCTGGATCCATCCCAAAAGAAGCTCTACAGAGATGTGATGTTGGAACTATTGAAGAACATGTCTGCTATAGAAGAAAACTAGACTGACCAGCAAATTGAAAACGGTAGTGAATATTGGAGAAGAAATCTAAGAAGTGAAGATGTAGAGGAATGCTACCAATATAAATTACGGAATTCACATAAAGAAATGTCTTTTTGGACTCCAGACCGTAATGTTAACACGAAAACACTTGGTACACAGCCAGCAGAAAGCCTTGCTTGTAGAAATTCCTGGATTGGTCATGCATCAACAAATGTGCCCATCAGAGCTCATAGTACACTCACGTCATATGAGAATCAGGTACTGGAAGTGAAGCTGTCTAGGTGTAATGAACATGGGGAAACCTGCAGTGATTTCCAGTCCTTTCAGAAGCACGCAACATCAAGTCCTGGAAAGAAACCCTATGAATATAAGCAATGTGGGAAATCCTACTCTAACTGCAGTGAAGGAACTGACATTGGAGAGAAGCCTTTTGTATCTAAAGAAGAAGCTGAAACCTATGAATGTAAGCAGTGTTGGAAAGCTTTCAGCTCATACAGTTGTAAAAGACATGAACAAATACACAATAGAGAGAAGCTGTATGTATGTAAGCAATATAGAAAAGCTTTCAGGAGAAAGAGTCATTGGTAAAGACGTGAAAGTACTCACACTGGAGAAAAACCATTTGTATAAGGGCACTGTGGGAAAGCTTTCGCCAGTAACAGCACTTGTAAATGACATGAAAACACACATACACACACTGGGGAGAGGACCTATCTATGTAAGCAGTGTGGAAAAACATTTGCCACTCACAATTATTGTCACATCCATGAAAAAATTCACACTGGGGAGAAACTTTATGTGTGTAAGCACTGTGGGAAAGCATTCCCAACAAAGGCCCATCATCAAAGACATGAAAGAATTCACACTGGGGAGGAACCCTATGTATGTAAGCAATGTGGGAAGGCCTTTGGCAGAAAGAGTCATTGTCAAAGACAACCACATACACACAACACAACAGAGGGATGGCCAAGAGAGAAATGGAAATACTAATCCAAATGAAGGAAGAAACTCAGGGAAGAGTGAACAAAGAGCACATAAAGTAGAGCTGGAAGACGGGCTCAAAGCAGCTGAGTAATCACATGGAAATGACCATATATTAATCACCAGTTACAAGGTACAGACTGTCAGATGACATGAATTATGCTGCCTACAAAAACCTATTTATTAGCTTTATTTTACATCTTTTCTGTAGAAGAAATTTCAGATTTAAAGAAGGGCATAGAGTTCCTATAAACGCCATCGCCTGGCTCCTTCGGACAGAACCTAAGAGAACCACAGCAAGATAATTGGCAATAGGAAATGGACATTCTTAAGCTATTGCTAGTCTCATTTGAGAGTTCACTTGGACTGCACCCATCTGTCACTTCCAGGATCTATCTAGGACCTCACATTGTATTTGGTGGCTGGGACACCTCAGTCCCCTCCCATCTGTGGCTGTCTGCTGTCTTCCATGAATCCCACCCTCATCCCTGTGCACAGGCCCCTCAGCTGGCTGGCCAGAATCCCCTCTTGATGAGACTAAGATGGGGTGTTTTTGTCAAGAGTACAGAAGAGGTGACATGCCCACCCCAGGTGTCACATTAGGAGGTGTATGGTGTCACTCAGTCCTATAACTGCTGATGTTACTCTGCATCTCCTCTATGGTAGCATTTGCCAGGATTTGCAACAGGAAATTACTATTTCCCACCTCTGCTATTGATATCATAGCCAGCTATTTGGAAACGACCCACATAGAACATCCCACTTCCACTTCCTGCTCACTCACGAAGTGTGCTCTATTGCAATGTGCCCATGGTAATTTATACTCTGGCATTTGCCTAAGGACAATTTCTTCTTTCCATGTTTTCTTCTATACTTAATTGGCCCAGAAATCCTCTCTGAACACTACTGTAGACCCCTGCAGTTAGGTTCCAGTCTCCTGCCCAGTATATGATGAAGGCCTGAGAAAAAAATATACTAAAGGACAGAACTAAGAGAGAGAAAGCTGGATGCCAGGATAAACAATGCCAGTGCAACAGACAAAGGCCCTGGCCAGTCCCAGGCACTGACTTTTACTGGCAATCAATTGGAGTAAAGGCAAGTTATGTGCAGTTTCTATGGAAATTAATGTAAACAAGGCTCAGAAAGGACAAGACAAAGCATTCTCAAATTAGGAACAGAATAGGCAAAATATGTGGTTGTCGTTAGAACATTGTCCTTCTAGTCACAAGGTTTTAGTTGTGGGAACAGAATTTGGGTGGGAGTTACTCTGACCTTGGCATGGAGGCTTCAGCCAGACTCACTTCTATAAACAAGCCAGTTGTGGGGTCAACTCTTTACAGCCTGCTTTGGGCAAAATCAATGTTACAGTCCTCTGTAAATACAAAAGAACAACTTAGTCAAAAGAGGATGCAGAAAGCTGTGCCCTGTTCAGATGAATCAAGGCAGCTGGAGTGGCAACACGAACATCAGGGAAAGTCATTTTCTGAGTGAAGATGATCACCAAGGGTAAAACAGTTTGTTTCATGAGAAAGACATCAATTAATCACAAACATAGAAAAATGGAGAACATTTATGCACCTAATAACACAGCTTCAAATACACAAAATACTGATAAAAATTAAAAGGACAAATGAATACACAGTGATAGTCAGATGTTTCAACATCCTTCTCACAGTTTGATAGAAAAATTAAACAGAATTTGTAAGGATCCAAAGATTTTGACATTATGGACAAACTTGTACTGATTGACATTCACAGGAATATTCTACCCAAACAACAGGGTAATATTCACTGGTTTCAAGTGTACATGGAAGAAAATTTCCAAAGACAGTCTCATGGTTACAGACACAAAATACATCTCAATCAATTTAAAAGGATTTAAATTATACAAAGGATGTTCTCTCACTATGATGAAATGTGTTCTGAAATTAACAATCAGGATAGCACTACTGGTTGATCCTAAAGCCTGAAAGGATAAAGAGATAAGGGGAGAACTTCAGGCCAATAAGTGCAACAACTTTGATTTCTTGAAAGACAAGAATGATTCAAACTTATAGGCCTGAGCATCCTATCTGTAGAAGAAACTGAATTGGTTAAAACCTTCCCACTACCTCCAGGCTCAAATAGCTTCACTGGTGAATTTTACCGAACACTGTAGTTAGAAATTATATCAATTTTACACAATGTAGTTAGAAATTATATCAATTTTACACAAAGTCATGAGAATATAAAAAGAAAAAATATTTCCCAACTCATGAGCTCATTGTTGCTGTGATTATTGAAAACACACAAACACATCACAGAAAAATAACCTGCACAGAAATATCCTTGAAAAGCACAGATACAGATGTTCTTAAAACTTGAACAAACTGAACACGGAAAAAACCTATGATTCAGCACAACCAGAGTGCAGCACTGAAAAACACACACTCACTAAACCGATTTCACAATAGCAATGAAATCTTTCCACGATAATTGAATGGCAAACAACAGCACACACACACACACACACACACACACACTGGAGACCCATGCAGCAGGTCCCGATCTACTGCTGTGTACTATGATGCCTGGCTGCAAGAAAAAATCAGAGGCAGAATGAAAGAGAGAAATGGGGAGCCAGGATGGCCAGTGCTG